GGGTGCGCGCGTGCGTGTGTGCGTGCACATCCTTCCTGGCGCTGGGGCCTCTGCACAACACGGCAGTGAGCCCCCGTGCGGTCTCCTGCTCCCCTACAGCCTCAGACCAGTCCACCACTGTAAATGATGGCAGGTCAAAATAACTGAGCTGGCTCAACACCAAAAGCACCAGCAGCATCAGAGGAACCAGATGCAGCTGTCACAGCCTTTCTTGCTATAAAGAAGTTGACAGCAAGAAGCAAAGATGTTGTGTGGTGGGGCCGGGTCAGGGTGACGTGGTATCCATGTGGGGCAGAGGAGGGACTAGGCCACATGGGCCTTGTTCTCCCTCACGAGAGGTATGGACTCATCTCCCCACCTTGAACCCCACAGCCAGAGATGGGCCCAAGGAAATCATGGGGAGGGACAGGACCACGGCCACGTAGGGCAGCAGTGGCAGAGAGTGGCTCCTGCCTGGGGAGCAGGGAGGTCGAGGCCCCTCCGTGCCCCACATCAGGGGCTCCCAGGCTCAATTTGCTTGGCAATGGGGCAGCATTTTTACCCTGCACCTGCTTCCCAGGCTTCTGCCCCCGCCCTGCCCCATGTGCCCTCAGCCCTGACCAGGATCCCCGCTCCATCCTTGCCCTGCCCAGCTCAGCAGGCACCGGCACTGCTGCATTTTCCAAGTTTCGGAGCTGTGAAGCCAACCTGCCTCTTCCCCTCACCCCATCCCGTCCCATCCGCCACGGCCCCCGCGCTGCTGGCGTGGTGCGGCAGACCCCAGGCGGCCACGGGGTGCGGGGTCAGCCGGAGCAGCAGCCCCGATGCCCCGACAGCCTCCTCCTCCCCAGCCTCCCTTGGACCCAGCCTCTCCCTGCCCCCCACAGCCAGGCAGCAGCTCCCCCACTGTGCAGGTCCTGCCCCCCCCGCTCTAACCACTGGACCACACTGCCTCTGCTCCTGCATACAGCCCAGCACAGTGGTGCAGGGAGCTAACAGGCGAGAGTGGATGCCCAGGAGGGTCCCGTGGGGTCTCCCTGGCACGGGGACTTCCCGGCTGGGTGAGCATGGTGCTGGAGCAGCTGACAGGCGGAGCCGGGACGCACACAGTCAGCTGGGCATGACGAAGCGGGCACAGCCGGGCCGCACCTGACTGTGAGCCGCTGGCAGGGCACAGACTAACTACGGGGGTCCCCCAGTAGCTCCCCCATACCACTGGCCCTGTAGCCCCTGACGGGCATCGAGGACCCTGTCACGCCCAGGGCCTGGCCGGGC